TGAGTCACTACATGGGTGAGAGCACTTCCTGCACCAGAGGCCCCGGCTGCTGCTCTGAAGCAGATGAGTGTCATCCTGTCCCTGAACAGCCGCCACCTGAGGCCATCGCACATCGAGCTGCCCCCAGAGCTGTGTGGCTGGGGCTCAGGCTGGGGAGAGCAGCACAGAGAGCATTATTTACATCTCGGCGGGACCTGGTCACTGGGAAGGGAAGTGTGTGTGTGTGTGTGTGCGCGCGCACACGCGTGCGTGCGGGGGACTCTGTCTGCAGAGTGTGGGCACTCATGTTTTTCTCTGAAGCCTGAACCCGCCTGTGCGGCAAGAACAGCACCAGCCTATGAAGAGACCCCCAAGGCCACACACACCGCGAGGACAGGCCTGAAACCCGAGCACATGCTCCCGAGACTCCAAATACGAAAGAAAGGCTGCAATTAACGCGCAGGGACATCCGAGCTGAACGGAAACATATCTGAGAAAAAGGGTTTGGAATGGAACCCGCAGCCGGGTGGCTCAGGGGTTAAGCGTTGACCCATGAACCAGAAGGTCACAGTCTGATTCCAGTCAGGGCACAGGCCGGGTTGTGGGCTCGATCCCCAGTGAGGGGCGTGCAGGAGGCAGCTGGCCCATGAGCCTCTCTCATCTCTGATATCTCTCTCTCCCCCATTCTCTGAAATCAATCAAAATATATTAAAAAAAAAATGAGCCCGCAGCCCATCAGGCTGTGCCCTGCGTGTGCCCGTGCCTGCAGCTCTCACCAATGTTATCACCCATCATCCCCCGAAGAGGGCTCCCCTCGGGGGCACAGGAGAGGCGGGATCAGGCCTGCCAGTCGCACGATCTGAGAAGCCCAGCTACCGTCCAGGCGTGTGCCCGTGCCCGCAGCTCTCACCAATGTTATCACCCATCATCCCCCCGCAGAGGGCTCCCCTCGGGGGCACAGGAGAGACAGGATCAGGCGTGCCAGTCGCACGATCTGAGAAGCCCAGCTACCGTCCAGTTTTATTTCAACAGGTTTTGGTAAGAGCTGAGCAGCCTGGAGTCCAACGAGGCAGGGTGACATTCGTCTAGAACAGCGGTTCTCAGCCTGTGGGTCGCGACCCCTTTGGCGGTCGAACGACCCTTTCACAGGGGTCGCCTAAATACATCCTGCATATCAGATATTTACATGACGATTCATAACAGTAGCAACATTACAGTGATGAAGTAGCAACGAAAATAATTTTATGGTTGGGTCACAACATGAGGAACTGTATTTAAAGGGTCGCGGCGTTAGGAAGGTTGAGAACCACTGCTCTAGAAGCTGCTTAGAGAGGAGTGAACGAGCATAAAATCATGGGACGCGTGACACACACGGCGGTGCCTGTGGAGACTGACTTCACTGTAACCGCAAGGGGCCGTGGGCATCACTCCCAACGGCAGCAACAGGGAGGACGTGAACTTCATCGGCCATCCTGGTTTAATGAAGCGTACAAAATGCTTTCACCAACAGCTTTATGCCCCGTGATTAGAAGTTAATTATGAAACCTCGCGAGCAGACGCAGAGCCCTCGTGCGCAGGGGTGAGCGGGACGTCGAGGCACTTGGGTGCGTGGAGGGAGGAAGTGACCCGTCCCCGGCCCCTCACAGTGACACTGGAGACCAGTCCGACTTGGCAGGAAAGGCCTCGGCCAGAAATACTGCATCAGTGACGCAGGTAAGAGACAATATTTAGAAAATATTCAGGCTGCAAGGCTCTGGCTGTAAAAATACAAAGGCTAAAAACAAGGCGTTTATAAAATTGTGCAAACCCAGTTAATTTAAACAAGTAAGAGATAAGGAGAAGTTATCTTTCTTGCAGGATAGGTCCGTGGTGTCAGGAGGCTGTAAAATGGTAACACTGGACAGAGTCACTCACGCGGCCACATACACATTCCCGCCCCTTCAAGACTCACAATGTGGATCCTGAAATGTCCCTGTGTCCGGCACTCACACACGCACACGTATGTGCCCACGCACACACATGCACCCACAGGACACGACACGTGTTACACGATACATTTCAGACGGAGCACAGCAAGACGTTCTGGTTACAAGGACCTAACATGATTGTTCTGGGAATATTAAAAGCATGGTGATCTGAAAATACTATAAAACTTTAGGTGAAACAGGACAACAAGGAGCCTTTGAAAAGCCACTGGTTGGCCTTCACCAGTGAGACAGTGTTACCCAACGTCGTCACGCACCCTCGATGCACTTCAGCTGCCTCGGCCGGAGGTCACCTGAAAGTTCAGAGGGTTTCGAACCCTGGACGGGCTGTGGATTTCCCACAGGACGCGTGGCGGTTCAGGCCACTGATGGACACGTGTGGTTTCCCGGCCACGGAAGCCTACGTCCCTCCTGGGAAGTTGAGACCATTTAGGCTGGAGAACACCCCAGAGACGAGGCGACGGAGAGGCTGGCAGAGGAGACTCCAACGGGGACGGTGGTGTGAACATCGCTGAGCGCAGAGCCTGCTGCGACCACAGCGCCGAGGCTCCAGCTGCATCACCACGAAACGCTAGCTATCGAGCCTGTCCTGACGGAGACGCAGCGGGAGGCCCGGCCACGTGCTTCTGGAGCCGGTAGACGTGGAAGGTCTTGTTCTGAAACACGCGGGTGAAGAGCGCCGCGTAGGCCGGCAGGCCCCTCCGGATCTCCTCGCAGAAGCGGGGGTGGCCTGCCGGCTGCAAACCCGCCTCGTTCTCTCCCGGGCCGTCCATCATCTGAAGCCAAAACAAAACCAAGTATAATTTGGTAAAAAAAAAATAAATAAATCAAACTTATAAGAAACAACACGGTAGGGACAGGAGCTGGGTTTCTTCAGTGAACGTAAGGGACGTGGTTCCGATGGCAGTGGCTGCTTGAGGTCACACGGCGTCCCAGCCCCGGGGGAGAGCCGAGGCCGAGGAGGCGGGGGGCACAGGGCGCCCCAACGGCAAAGCTGGGACGGAGCTCGATCTTGTCTGAGGGGGACACGCTGTTTCTCTCACAAACGCGACCAGGAGGACTCGCTAGGACCCAGCAAACCTCAGCTCACTCAGTGGCCGCGTGAGAACACTACACAGAGCAGAACGCACACAGCCCGGGGCCGGCCTCCCTGCACTCAAGGTGGTGAGGAGGGACTCTGCTTGGGCAAGAATCCGAGCTTCCAATCCTTCCCCGGCTCCCCTGAGGCCTTTAGGGTGCGGGAGCGGGAGCAGGCGGTGAATGGAGAGTCACACACAGGTCGGTGGGGGGACCGGGCAGGGCTCTGGGCCAAGCTCAGCTGGTGGCCACAGTCAGGACCCCATGCTGGGCGCCTGAACTTCTCTGAGACTAGCTCTTAGCTCTCTGAGTCTGGAACCTTGTACAGTGGCGTCTGCCTGGAGTGCACGCTGGCCTGGGAGAGCAGGGACATGGGGTCCGGGAGAGCAGGGAGACGGCGTGGCCGCCACAGCCACGAGGGACCAGCCTACTGATGCTCGAGCTTCAGAAAGGCCGAGGTTCTGGTTTTGGTTTTAACAGCAAAACCTTCCACATGACCCGTGGGCAGAGGCTCCTGACCAGCCAGCTGCAGGCCGGTGCCCCGTGTGCAGACGCCTGGAGACCATGCCGGCTCAGGGCCTGGGCCGCCGACACAAATGAAGGCGCTGGCCCCTCTCAGAGCCTGGAGCCCGCCCGCCCGTGCTCAC